CCTGCGCTGGGTGACCCCCAGGCGTGTGCCATACTATCCGAAGAGCGGGGTGACCCCCCTACTATTTATGCTGTTACGTGTGGTCGGCACCCTCCATACTACGACTGGGGTGTCCTGCTCATGCCTTTTCCACTGGGGAAATCTGTCACACTTCTCCCCCACTGGGCTTTGAATTAAGGGCACGACCCGTGCAATATCTAGGCACTACGACCTAGCCGAGATTTCTATATCCTAGACCGCTCAGTCCGGTCAGCCGGAGGGTGACCCCCTCGCTAGCCCAGAATTACAGGCAGTGTCAATACCTAAAACAGGTTGTTTGATCTGGGCCCATTGGCCACACTAGACGACCCCCAGTCGTAGGAGGAACGCCGTACCTCCTTATTACTGCCTTGTACTATTCACGTACTTCGGTACCTGACTCTACCCTGTCTTTACAGACAGTGATTGCAACAATGAACATGGGTGAACCCTCACAGCAAACTCCACCCGATTTTCAGGCACTAATTAATTCAGCGGTGGCGGCCTCAATGGAAAAGGCCATAGCGAAACTATTGGTCCAAACCCCACAGGGGGACCCGGACACCAAAGGCCAGGAGAAGCCTTCAGGGGATAGTGCTCCCCCTAAGAGACATTGGAAGGGCAATGGCCCAGCCCCACGGACGGCAAAGGGCAAAGCCCCACTCAAGAGGAGCCGCCCATCGGACCGCTTAGATCCGTCAACACCCCCGCTGACATCATCCGATGACGAGGGAGGTAACTCACCAACCCCGCTGGAAGTTATGGACGAGTGGGGAGTGGGGGACTCCCCATCTGAGGAGGAGGACTGGCTCGACATACCCCGCGGCCACACAGGGTCGGAGCGGGTCGAGGAGCAGGACATCCGTCATGGGCACTGGAAGGCCGATACACAGGCGGACGACCTGGAGGACGGCACCTTCGTGGACCCCCAAGGCAATCCGTTGTTTGATCCACGTACAATACGTCACCCGAGATCATTGGAATGGGGCCTACCGGACCATTTGGCCCAATTCATTCATTTTTGGCTACGACAACCTATGGACAAAGAGGTCCGGGCGAGACTGAAGTCCGAGTGTCCAAGACCTAGCCTACCGGACAAGATTGCCCACACGCCTGAATTCGACACCACGGTAGTCGTATTCATGTCACGGACGGGACGTGACCCGCGTAAGGGCATCGAGAAGGGCCTCAAAGCTTCGCAAGATAAGTTACTAGATATGCTTGGCCCACTCGCTAAGATCCTGTACCTCGCAGACGGAGCGCTTACCCAAGGGAGTACCTTGGACGCCCACGATGTGAGAGAATGGGCGCAACGCGCAATCTGCTTATTGGGCAACACCAATGCCGCACTCTGCGCGGAGCGACGTAAAGCCGCGCTTCTCAAGATGGACTCCAAGCTCCTGGAACTCGGCAAGAAAGAATTGGGGCCACGGGCCAATGGCCAACTATTCGGAGAAGCCTTCATTGGCGAGCTAAAGAAACATGTGAACTTATTTACGACATTGAGCAAGGCCCAGACTTCCATTAAACAAGTTTTTCGTAACCCTACTCCAACCAGAGGGGTTTTCGGCAGGGCTGGTCGCCATCGGGGCCGAGCCACCAGCCGTTTCTGGCCTACAGGCCCCAGGAATCAAACTTCTCAGTCGTTCTTCCCATCGAGACCACCCTTCTCGAGAGGAACCTTCAGACCCAGAGGAGCTCGTACCCGCGGACGCGGGCGCTTCAATACAGGTGAGCACCCCTCAAGTACCATTGTGCCTCTCCCCTGTTACTGCTGGCAGACTGTCTCTTTTTTCGCAGAACTGGGAAAAGATATCCTCCGATGCCTGGATCCTTCAAACGATCAGGGGATACGAGATCGATTTCGCGCACACACCGACCCAATCACGTCGACCACAACCGATACGAACGTCGGTGGAACTCACCAAGCTCATAGACGACGAGGTCCGAGCACTATTCCTCAAAGGGGCAGTCGAATTCGCCCCCGACGACACGGGTTTCATCAGCAACATATTTCTAGTTCAGAAAAAGACAGGAGATTACAGACCTGTCATCAACCTACGCGAACTGAATTCATTCGTAGCCTACAGACATTTCAAAATGGAGGGCATACATCTCCTCAGAGATCTACTACTGGAGCACGATTGGTTCACACGACTGGATTTAAAGGATGCCTATCTGTCAGTTCCGATGGCACAGTCCAGTCGACCTTTCCTTCGATTTCACTGGAAAGGACGCACATGCCAGTTCACGTGCCTCCCATTTGGTCTCAGCTCCGCCCCTTGGTGCTTCACGAAGCTTCTGAAGCCAGCCATGGCGCATTTACGGACAAGAGGGATCCGATGCCTAATCTATCTAGACGATATACTTATTTTCTGCAACAACGACTCCAAACTGCGTTCTCAGACGAAATTCATAGTGCACTTTCTGGAATCCTTGGGTTTCATCGTGAACATGGAAAAGTCAGCTCTCTCCCCATCGAAAGTGGTGCAGTTCCTCGGATTCGAGATAGATTCAGTATCATGCACACTCCGCCTTCCCAAGACGAAGATTGCGAATATTCGGAAGGAGATACGGCGTTTTCTTCGGAAAGACATGGTCCCTCTGAGATTACTGGCCAGGATTGTCGGCCTACTGTCATCCTCCATTCAAGCAATTTTCCCGGGACCCCTCCACTACCGAGCCATGCAAAGGCTGAAAGCTCACCACCTGAGACAGGGTCACTCATACGATCAAGCGATCAGGATAACCGCGGAAGTGCGGACGGAACTCCGTTGGTGGCTGCTCCACATGGAGGCTTGGAACGGCAGAGCCATATTCGGTTCGAACCCGGATTTCATCCTGGAATCGGATGCCAGCCTGTGGGGCTGGGGAGCCCACTGCGCACACGCATCCACGGGAGGTCCCTGGTCGGAGGAAGAAAAGTCACTACACATCAATTGCCTGGAGTTGATAGCCGGCTCATTCGCCATCCGCAGCCTGGCCAAGCATGTGTCCAATTGTTGTATACTGCTACGCATGGACAACATATCGGCAGTCCAATACGTGAACAGACTAGGAGGAGCCAGATCACGGACATTGACGGAGGCTACCAAGGACATCTACCAGTTTTGTCTCCCTCGCAACATAACCCTCAGAGCGGAATACTTACCAGGCCTCAACAACCTCACGGCGGATTGGTTCTCTCGTCATTGGCGGGACTCCAGCGATTGGCATCTGGACACGGAGATCTTCAATACGGTGAGATCGATCAGGGGACCACTCCACATAGACCTTTTTGCCTCACGCACGAATACGCAACTACCGAGGTACTACAGCTGGTTGCCGGATCCCCAGAGCGAAGCAGTGGATGCCTTTCTACAGCACTGGCCTTCGATGGGAGCGTATGCCTTCCCACCTTTCTCGATGTTAGCAAGAGTGCTCCACAAACTACGCACATCCAAGACATCGCTGATCCTGATCACACCCTTATGGAGAAGCCAGGCATGGTTCCCCGACTTGCTCGCACTATCTCACGACCACCCGCTGGTCTTACCAACTTTCCCCACACTCCTTACGAATCCGGATGCGGAACCTCATCCTCTCATACTTCAAGAACGTCTAGAGTTGGTAGCCTGGACGCTTTCAGGGGATCTTGGGCAATCCCAGGATTATCGCAAACGGCTAAGGACCTCCTTTGGGACTCTTGGGCACCAGGGACTAGACGTAACTACATGGCAGCATGGAATGTATGGGACCGCTGGTGTTTGGGAAGGAGCCTCGATCCCTTTACAGCACCTGTATCAGACATACTGAATTTCCTTTCCACTTTGTTTTCCAACGGGAAATCATACCGATCCATTAACGTTACACGATCCGCTATATCGGCGGCTCATGTTCCAGTTAACGGGAATCCAGTGGGTCAGGAAGCCTTAATATGTCGACTATTACGAGGGATCAAATTGGCTAGACCACCGACACCGAGGTATCGCCAACTGTGGGATGTGGACGTGGTCATTCGTTTCATTCAGAACTGGCCGGATAACGCTGACCTATCACTCAGACAATTAGCAGCCAAACTTACCTTATTGTTGTGCTTAGTCTCTTTCCGACGGGTATCGGATGTTCGGGCTTTCGACGTGGACGGATTTACGATAACGCCCGTCGGTGTTATGTTTTTGATATCCCGAAGGACTAAGACGGACTCCAAATCCGTGTCCTACCCGTTTTTTCCGGCGGTTCCTCGTCTTTGTGTCGTCTCCACTTTACTCCGTTACGTGGAGGTTACGGCGCCGCTTCGGGCTACCGGATCGGGACAGCTGTTAATCTCGTATACCAGACCATACAAGCCAGTGACCACTACTATGTTAGCTAGATGGATACGATGGCTGCTGTCACTAGCCGGGATAGATGCTAGTTTCGGGGCCCATTCGGTTCGAGGGGCGGCGGCTTCTAAGGCCTTCTCGGCGGGTGCCTCCCTTGCGGACATTCTACGCACAGCGGATTGGACCAGAGAGAATACCTTTAGGGTGTTTTACTTTCGCCAATCATCACACGCGTCCTTAGCGTTTTTACCCCAGCGTTAAAAATGCAAAATAGGAAGCCTCCTGTCATGTAATAAAATTGTAGATTATGCTAGCGTAGTGTACAGATAATCTTAATTTTAATAATGACAGGAGGCGAGTATTTTCCCCCCCTTTTTCTTGGTCATTCCCTCCCTATACTCTGAGGTTTCACACACTATTTCAGTTAGCTATGGGTAAAAACTGGGATAAAGGACGCTTAAACCAGATGTCATTTACTATTTAGTTCAGTTATCAGATCAGACTATACCTCTCTGTGTACATAGGATTAGGTGACTGTTAGTAATGCTAACGTTGAGGTGTTACTTTTAGAATTTAGATACTACAGGAGTTTCTTGCTAGAGTTAAGACTAGACTTAAAGGTTGATATGCGGACGACAGTCGTTTTCCCACGCCTTTCACCTTTTTTCTATGTCTTTCAGCTTAATCTCACTTCATGAGACAGAAGTCGGACCCTAGACGTTTCTCTACGTTCCACAAGTTTCCACAAGTTGACAAGTTGACAAGCTATTACGTTCAAGTTTCTGCATTTACGAAAGAATTGTCGCTTTCCGGCATGATCACAACAAAGAAAGAGGAAATGGGAAGCCTGTCAGGGACTTATATACAAGAGGTGCTGGACTCTGATTGGTTAAACACTTTTCTTTCTGATTGATTGACTTGTGCTGCTGGAGGCATAAAGTAAAGAAAGTTTATGCAAAATACTCGCCTCCTGTCATTATTAAAATTAAGATTATCTGTACACTACGCTAGCATAATCTACAATTGTCATTTGTACTTTTTGCTTTTTGTCTCAGCTATCTTTTCATCAATTTTTTTTTATAGTTTTTTGTAAAGTTTCCTCTCTCTCTCTTTAAACTCAATATTCTCTGTATCAGTTGGGGGATTAGACTCCAATTCCTCTAATTCATTTTCCAGTTTTTCCTTTGTTTTCCTTGAATGTTTGACAATGAGCTGGGTCAACTGGAATGAGCAATTATATAGAATTCTGTCCCATTCTTTTAAAAATAATTCATCATTAGTCCCAAATGCAGGAATCTTTTCCACACGTAAGCCTCATAGGATAAGACCCTCTTTTAAATAATTTTTTAGGAAAGCTATTTCCCACTACTTTTATGTCTCATGATTGACTAATCTTTCTTTCTTCTTAAAATAGATTTGATAGGTTGGGGTTTATCCCAATCTTGAAAAATGGTTTCAAATCTTTGCATGCCCGTCCGATGTTGTGATGAAAGCAACTTCGCCACTGGTTTTTGGAGGGGCCTGTTTGCCAGCCTCCTATCCTGGGACTGTGGGCCCTGTGATAACCCATGTTTAAAAGTACTGTTTCTGCCCCTTGGACTTTTAACTGGAACAGATTCAAACATGTGGCGGCGGCCATCTTAAATTGTACAGCAGTGTTTTGTCATCGAGTGTATGGAACTGTTTTGGGCATGGCACCATGTGCATGGTGGGACAAAAATAAGACTTTTCAGGAAACCCCTGAACCAATCTGGGTGATATTTGGATATGTTGTTCACCCAGTTCGGGACTTTTGTGGGGATATGTTGTATTTTGGGGTTTGTAAAAATCAATGTTTTTTCTGCTTAGAGCTAATTGAGTTAGTCTATTGTCTTCGTTAATTAACTCAATTATCTCCCAAGCAGAGGGGAGGAATTTACTGTAAATGAATGAGAGTGTTTAACTTTGTGACTGTACACTATTGGCTGTGGAATGTATTTTTCGGTGCCCCACAAGGTCCACATGGGTGGTAACCTTGTGGTAAAACTTGTATAAAAGACCAAGCTGTTCATTAAACCCTCAGTTCTGCTTAACCCTCAATACATAGCCTCGTCTTGTGTTTGCAGGGAACTGCTATATTCCCACTGGGGATTACTATACTTTGTATACTCCCCTGGGCTCTAATCAATTAGCTCTTTTAAGAGCTGTTCCTGTTACGCTCTCCTGGAGGAGAGGTCTCCCCCACACTGTCCTGGATGTCAGAGGTTAATCCAGGGTGGAAGGAAGACGGCGAGACCCCAGTTAAGCTATGGCGGTAGTGGAGTCTGCGGTGGTTGTGGTGTCCTGTGCGGTGCTTATGGTCCTCAGTGTCAGCTAGGAAGCGTCCGTCAATGGCGGGGTTGGGGTGCCAGGTGATCCATTACAGATGTAATTTGGACAATAAATTGGTGAGAATCCTATTGGATTCATGAATTGCGAGCACCGGAACTTAGGGGACTGAGTGATGATATAGACCTGGTCTGTTTTTTGTAAATAGCTTTGTGTTTGTTTTGTAAATAACATTTTGTACATTATTTTTTTTGCGAATTTGTTACAGATTTTCTTTGTTTGATAACAACTATTTTAAGGATCATGGGGATACATGGAAACTTCATATAATTAGCTATTCCTCATTACATTACATTATTTCATAACATCAATATCATATATATTATCAATACTCATTTGGCTAAAATATTTGTGAACCATGTTGATGGTAAATGGGTATGTGTGGCACCCACAGTTTTTATAAGATATATGAATTCATTGTCCAGTTAAGATAATTATGTGATTGGGGAATAAACTAATTGGGTAACTTTACACTTTAAATCAAATGTACATTTAAAATTTATACCTAAGATAACTATGAACATCATATATTAAGGGACCACTATAGGCACACAGACCACTTCAGCTCAATGAAGTGGTCTGGGTGCCAGGCCCCCTTAATTTTAACCTTGCAGAGAAACTGCTATTTTTACATTGAGGGTTAATCCAGCTTCTAGTAGCTGTCTCCCTGACAGCCACTAGAGGCCGCTTCCGCGATTCTTATTGTAAAAATCACACTGAGATGACGCTGGACGTCCAAAGGAAAGTATTGAGTAATGCTTTTCTATGGGCGGTTTGAATGCGCGTGCTGCTCTTGACACGCATGCGCATTCGGAACTGATGTCGGCAGGGGAAGGAGAAGTCACCAGTGCCGAGGGAGCCTGGTGCTGGATTAAAGTAAGTTATAACCCCTTCAGCCCAGCGGGAGGGGGGCCCGGAGGGATGGGGGGGACGGGACCTAAAAACCCTATTGTGCCAGGAAAACAAGTTTTTTTTCCTGGAGCTATAGTGCTCCTTTAAGTCAGATACATATATTGCACTTTTTTATTGCAAATTTCTTTCACATATTTTAATTATTATTTAAGAGAATTGACAATTGAAATTTATAGATTTCTTCTTGTAGAAATTGGATTCTCCTCACCAGAGCATGATAAACTAATGTCTTTTTCCATCGGTCGAATTGGTTATCTAATTGCAGAAAATTACAGGGTGGAAAGCATATCACTTTCCCGGATCCACAGTGGAACGCAGGCCATTTTGGATCACTAGATCAGTTGGAACCCACAGAGGTGTTCGCTGGAATGCACGGAAGTGCGTCCCTGACGTCGCTTCCTGTTTCTGCCGATCAGATGAATCTGAATCAGCTGAGAGAGGAGATGCGCGTTATAACATACTGACTTACAGGTGAAGTGGAGAGTGTTGGAAAGAAAAGAAGACACCCACTGGAGCACCAATGAACTTGAGGGATTAGGCTGCATTTGAGAGCATTGTAATTTGTAACTGCTTTTAATTATAATTTGGTTCCAATGTTGCGACGAAACACGTAAGACCAATATTTTAAATCCTTTTTTATACCAAATAAAACATATTTTATATGCCTATTTTCCTCTCTGAGTCCTGTTTCGGTCCTGAATAACCATGATACCTGATCCTGAGAAGGATTATTAGCCCCCATCTACTTTGGGGAAGGCACCTTTGGAGTGCTTCTTATTCAAACATCTTGTGAGTGCAATCTAAAACAGCGTGTTTTTTTTTTATTGTCTAACAGTTTTACACTATGTTCTGTTTATTCATTTTTCTTTACATATACCAGCTGAATCCCATGTGTGTTTGTATATTTCTATGGCTTGTTAAGACCACTACTTGGGAGGTGATCTGTGGGAGGCTGTTTCTTTATTGTTGATAAGTATAATTTTCATTACTTTTGTACCTATTATATTTCTTGTGTTGTATATTAAGAAATATGTAACCAGTTTCCCTGTTAAATAAAAGTAAGACAGGAAGCAAGTGCATGGAGTGGAAGGAAATGAGATTTGTTTTACAAGTTATTTATGGTCTTCAACAATACCTTTGTATTTCCTCCATGGGCTTTTAAACTGAGCTCACGGACATTTGGAAAGGCATGATGCAAAGAATAAGACTCAGAGCAGTGAATAAGCTTTTTAAAAAAACGATTCTTGACTTTTGTGTGGTTCTAGATCTTGAATCTGTTGTTTATATTGTAAAAATGACAGTGGTTTGGGGTAGCGATGACCTGGTTCACAAGATTTAGGAAGGTTGAAAAATTAGCAGAAGGTTATACTAGAAAATCTATGTACAGGGTAATTAGTGTCTATCTGAAAAGGAAAGGGAATGAGGACATTTACAACAGATAATTTTCTGAGACAGGGATGGTGAGGGGCAGCTACAGGGGCAGGGAGCGTGCAGAGAGGGAATAGCAGACAGTTGAGAAAAAGGACAAGAAGGGAAAGGTATTGATAGTAAGAGAAGAATAATGAAATATGCACACATGGACATGATTGTAAAATAAACAATGATGCGAGCAGAAAGGTATTAGTAGCGAATTACAGGAAACTTGAAGAACACTCATCGTTTCATTATTGTTGAAAATAACAGATTAAGGTAATATGTAATGCGTATTATTTTGTAATGTATGTGAATAATTCAAAGGAACACTATACCTATAAATATATATATATATATTTACTTCTACAGTTAGATGTATTCCATACTAGTTTTAGATTTAGGGTCTCCCAATATATATAAAAAAAACAACCCTCTCCCCCCCAGAAAACAACCCCCACCCAAAAATAAATATATATATATATATATATATATATATATATATATTGCAGCTGTAATCCAAAGCAAGGACAATCTCTAGCTACTTAATAATCTGTCAACGTAGAGATCATCATGTAATGGTATCACCAGTGACAAGTACACCTCCCAAAATGAGTATGTTAATTTGATGCCCCTCCAGAGCACACCTTGTGCAGAGCACTGCTGATGTGCTCTCAGATGGGGATCATGCACTGTGTTTGTTTTGTGCAGTTCAGGCATACTTACACTCTGTTTACTGGTGACTTGTTTATGGTATCCCTATAAGTGGTGTATCAGAAGCAGTGGTGGCTCTAGACTTTATGAGGCCTTAGGCAAAACTCAAACATTAGGTCCCCACTAACACCCAAAGTGGAAATAAAATAGGGGTTGCATTGTGTGTATAAGGTGCTGTAGCTGTATTGAAGGACAAACTTGCAGCGCTGGATACAGAGAGCTAGTCTCTGTATTATTTGTTCAGAGGCATGCAGTGTCGCGGCTCCCTGTGCCGCGGTGTTGTGAGCTCTCCGAATGTACTTATGGCATTATTTGCAAACTAAATTAATTTGCAATAAACAAATTTAATTATCAATTATGCTATTCATTCATACACGACTGCAGGGTATGACTACATAGCCTTGCAGTCGTGCATACATTACTAACAGTGTGTGTATTTCTGAGTGTGTCTGGCATTGTCTACATGTGTATGTGCATGAAAGTGTGTGTCTAACCGTGAGTATCCTTGTGTGTGAATGTATGTCTTTATGA